GGGGGGGGGGGGGGGGGGGGGGGGTGTACTCATAGTCGTGCATGCCGTAGTCGTTTGACCATTGACCTCGCATCCCTACAAAGCCGGGACGGAGCACGCCGGGTTCTCACCGGACCAGGCTCTCACATCACCAAGCGCGAAGCGCCGTGAGGTATTTGGCGAGTCGCATGAAGGGTGAGCTGCATCCTGCTAAGGGTGTTCGGCATCTTGTGCTTACTTCCTTGCGTACGGATGACAGCTACGTATGACTTAATTTATTTTCTGGTGCTTTCACTTCCAGAGACAGTTGTAAGCACTGTGTAACTGTCTCGAGGAAGCTTGACCATTTTAACACAACGTGGTGCGATCATCCCCCGTTGCGCGGAGTGAGGTTTCTCGACCCCGCACAACATGATTTACTGGACTCCCATTAGGGTTCCCCCCAAAAAAAAACCCGGGGGTAAAAAAAAAAAAAAACGGTACCCTGGTTGCGGAGTTCACGAAGTGAATTGGCTTGTTTTACAACGTCGTTGCCAAGGGAGGAAAACCCAATCCCGATGGCAAGCCCCGAGTGGGGGGGGGGGGGGGGACAAAACTACAACATCCCGGTGTTTTCGGTATCTTCCTCCTGTGTGACCTTTGTATACGCGTTTAAATAGTACATATCGAAAGGCGTAGACCAGTTCCAGAATATGTGGACGAGGACGAAACCAGCAACACGTACAACACAAGATCGAGACCATAGATCCCTCCATCGTTCAGTTTTGGTTGCGACGTTGTTGTGTTCCAAGGAATCTGTCCTGACCTCTACCTAGTCGCTCCCGTTCTCAGCTCTCTTCATGGCGACGATCGTTGTTGTTTTTGTTGCTCCTGATGTTTTGTTACGTTCACAACAGAAACCGGTGCGATTTCCGCTCAGAACTTTCAAAACATCCGTACTGGTCCAACTGATGCGGATGCAATCCGTGACCACACCCGAAAACGTGCATCTCACAAACAGCCCTCGTTATGGAAAAGTCAGCAGCGGCGGCCTCTCACCCGTGTCTTTTCTCCGGCGACGCTTGCCGCTTCCGCTCCCGCCGCGGCGCTGGCTGTCGCAACCTGGTCGCCGAACGCAAGAGCGAAAAAAAAAGCAGACATGACAGCAGGGAAGAAGAGACAAGGGCATACAGTCGTGTGGCCCACAGTGTCATAAAATGGCACAACCACACTATTGAGGGCATCGCCGCTAAACTGGATTGGCAGTTATATAGAAGTTAGACGACCGAGGTGCATCCGTGCCACGAGATCTTGGAATCGCTACATTCAGGGCATCCCGCTAAACAGGTGAACCGCTAAACCGAAACAACGGCTGTCCGACAGGATCCGGCGGGGCGGGAATCGGTGAAATATCGCACGCTAAATAGAACTGTGAAGGGCGCCCAACTAATGGCTAGGTGAAGACAAAAAAAAGTGAGGGAAGACAACAACGGGACCACCGCTCCAATGGCAGGCGGCGAGCTACAGAGACTAATTAGTTTGGTCGACAGCAGTGCCGAGGGCTCTTGAAGACAGCGCGCGGTGCCCTCTCCCGTTCATTCTAAATTCGCATCGGCCCGGGCGGTGCTAAAACGGATGATGCTAGGCATTGACACGTTCGAGGGGGTGAGAGCGAGAGAGAGGTCCAGACAAAATAACGCGTCAAAACAACTGTATCGTACCACCAAACAATGAAAAGGTACCGAACGAAAACACAAAAGCATTCCTCACTCACTCCTTCGGTCGGATTCGACAGCCTCTTGATCGCTAACTCCTTCGACCGCTGTTTCGTGGCGGTGTCCCTCGCGTCCCTGGCGTGGGCCAAGAGCCAGGAGAGGAAGGTCCGCGAGTTCTCCAGGACGAGGTTGTCGGGGACGTGGCTCGGCACCATCTCCCTCATGAGGCCCCAAAGGCACTGCACCAGGCAGGCGCACTCTGCCAGGAAAAAAAGCCCGCGAGCGAGAAGCAGACAAGGAAGTGTTGTTCATGAAAGGTTTTATCTCAAAAGCCAGCAAGGGAGAAGTAGAGAAGGAGGCAGAGTTCATGAAAGGTGTACTTTCATAGCAAGTAAGGGAGAAGCAGAGAAGGACGGCGTTTTTTCATGAAAGGCATATCTCAAAAGGCAGCAAGCTGGAAGTAGAGAAGGAGACGTTTTTCATGAAATGTTCATCTCCAAAGCCAGCGAGAGAGAAGTAGAGAAGGAAGACGTCGTTTTCATGAAGGTTTAGTCTCAAAAGTCAGTGAGCTAGAAGTAGAGAAGGAGGCGTTACTCATGAAATCTTCATTTCCAAAGCCAGCGAGAGAGAAGCTGAAATGGAAGCGTGGTTCATGAATAATTGGCTCAAAGGCCAGCGAGCGGGAAGCAAAGAAGCAGAGAGCTCCTTGTGTGGTGCCTCACGCTACATACTGGAGCTCTAGAGGCTGTGTATAGGAAGGTTAAACAGGAAGATTCCCGCCAATCACTGCGTTCGACCAAGTCGTTAGCAGCCCTCAGCCGTAACCCGAACCTCACACGACACCGCACGACCACAGTCAGCAGGCGAGTGTGTCTGCCAACTCTCGCACAACACAAAGCGAAAGCTCCCAACAGAGCGCTACGGCTTAGGCTGGGCATGGTGCATTCTTATTTTATCGAATTACATTATTTTTCCATCTAGTTTCCTTTGTTGTATTTTTCCACTTCAGTATCTCCTGTCCTTGTTTTTTCGTTTTTACCTGCTTCGCTCACGTCCTCTGCTTTCGCGAGCTGGATAAGCGCGAGCGCTGCCGGGGGGAAGCGCGGGCTGAGCAGGCTCATCAGCTCGCTCATCAGCCAGCCCGAGAAATTGCCCTCTATCTCCGTGCCTAGCTGACTGTGCTGTACGTCGCCGACGAGCTTGCACATCATAAAGGCGCACGACAAGAAGACCGCTTTCCCCGCGGTGGAATCATCATCCTCGGGGTCGTCGCTGGGCCTTCCGGTGCTGTCGCTGCTGTGAGGGGGGGGGGGGGGGGAAGAACGTTCGTGATGGCGAGCGATGAACATTGCCCTAACTGTTGCTGCAGTTGATGTGGACATGTCGTTGTTACCGTAATTGTCCCTGGGGCCGAGGGGGAAAACCACAAAAAGCGGTGTGACCAGTTTATTTGTAGCGATGTCGAAACATAGCGCCATTAGTCGAACAAATGAGGCGCAAACAATGACGAGCTTGTCGTGATGTCCTTCGCAATTCCACCGGCACACGCCGTGCAACGGTACACACCTTTCCGACGGCCGCGGCACCGGGCGGGGGTGCCAGCACAGAGAGGTCCCGAAAATCCCCACGGGGCCCCTGAGCTTCCGAGTGGCCGCCACCTCGCACGCCGAGAGCGGAGATCTGCGATATGGCCATGCAACACAAACAGGGTTCGTTGACAAAAACAATATTGTTGTTGCCACCGTTGTTGTTGTTGTTGTTGTTGCTGCTGCTGTTTTCACGCGAGGAAAATCGTGATATCAATACGGCATCCTCTCATTTCCGCCTTCTCTTCAAACGAAGCGAACTCAACAAAATTACCGTGGCCACACGCAAAAAAAAAAGGTAAAGGGAGGGGGGCGTGTACTCATAGTCGTGCATGCCGTAGTCGTTAGACCATTGACCTCGCAGGCCCCAAAGCCCCAGGAGTCTTCGTGTTATCTTTCTGCTATCGCCGCCCCACCACCCTGCCCTGTCTTGGGAGTGCGCAAAGGTGCGTTCCGATTGCAGAAACCGATGCATGTGGGTGAAAGACGGATGGCATTGAAAAAATTCAATGTGCATGACGCACAACTGCTTTTCAGCGAATGTTTTTTAAGGGTCATGTTGGATCCGCAAGCCGTTTTGCCCGCCACAAACACAAACTGCTCCTGTGCGGACACCCACCATACAGAACTATGAGACCCCTGACGTCATCATCACTGCGCAAGGATGAGAGGTGAGTGGTACCCGCAGGCAGGCCGCAGCCAAAAAGTGATGCATCCCACCTTGTCATGTAGAAAACCACGAAAACGCGAACGCCTTCCCTGAGGAGACCCCACTCTCCGAGTTCGAAACCGTCGGTCTCGAAGGTCGATCGGAGGGGGTACACCGTGGCCGATTGAGGGCTCAGGCTGTCCTTCGAAATCCCGATAGGGTCGGTCCCGCCCACGTTCGGTTCCTCGAGCTGTCATGATTCGGGAAAGAGGTTTGGTGCGTTCGTCATACCAAGAGACCGATCGCACGTGGAAAGATCACAAGCAACAGCAACAGCAACAGCAACAGCAACAGCAACAGCAATAGCAATAGCAACAGCAACAGCAACACAGCGGTTTCGATTCTGGTGCCAACAGTTTGGGGTGGGACAGGGTTGGTGCGGCCGTCGTACCAAGAGTCCGATCGCATAGAGGAAGACAGAAACAACAACATCGTGGTTTCACAGAAACAATCTTGGTGTTCAGCACAGATTGGGGATGGAACAAACGACCTGCGATTCGGCGAACAGGGTTGGGCTGGTGCGGCCCTTGTACGAGACTGATCGTACGTAGGAAGACAGCAACAACAACAACAACAACAACAACAACAACAACTCTGGTGGTAACAGTTTGGGATGGGACAACATCTGCGCATGTAGATTTGGTACGGCGGTGGTACCAAGAAACCTGTGGCGCAGAAGAAGCCAACAACAGCAATAAATACAACAACAACACGGTTTTTCCCAGAAACATTTTTTTGGAGTTAACAGCTTGCCACAGGAAAAGTCTGGAATCTTGGCGTGAGTCAAGTCTTTTGCGCATGTGTTTAGCGTGTTGAACATGAACAGGGCAAAAAGTATTGACGCAGCTTCTCTTTTGCAGATATGCCGCGGTTTATCTCCAGAAGACAAGGCAATCATGAAGCTGAGTACACGCCAGGCTGGTCAGCAACATCACGAAGTGATCCGTTCCGCCGTTTGTAGAGATACCTCGGTTCCGAGAATATTGGTCAGCGGTACGAAACAAACGATCCCCCCACCGAGTCTACCTGAAAAAGAGCCGCGTACCACCTGTACAAATTGTCAAGCTACGCTATCACTCAGCAGGCGGTTGCATGCACGCTGTTTAGAATGAACAAAAAAAGCTGGGGTCATTACTCAAGAGGCCTGGACGGTGTGTTGCTCGTTCGTTAATAAGAGCCCCCTGATGAGAAGGTACAGCACCAAGGTCCAGCTTCAATCGGTACCAGCGAAACCGCCGATGAGAAGCAACATGCGACAGACCCATCATAACGCATACATCTCTATACGACGACTTCAACAGGATGTAGCGCCAAGCTGGAACACAGCAGATTTTACCCAGCGCAACAAACTATCCGCACAACCATGTTGACTGAGGAAACAGCAATCGAACATGATCTCGCGCGTCGAACAGTGCAACTTTACCCATAGAGACACCGACGTGCGCACGGGGGTCTCTGCGGCATCGCCGGAGGCCGGTCCCGTTGCCGATGGCTGGTGCCCCCCCCCTCCATTGCCGCCAGGTCGGCTCTTGTCTTTTGGCACGTTGATGTACACCACGAGGCGAGCACCCTGTAGTAAATATGGTCGAACGAGGGGGGGTCGCGATCTCTTCAAGGAAACAAAACGAGCAGAAAAGTGGTGAAAGGTATACGACTAGAGTTGGGATCGGCATGGATCAGATCAGCAGTGACCGTGCACAGACACAACATAACACGTCACACGGAAGAAGCTGGGGATCAATAAGATCAGGCTCTCTAAGTAATTCAAGGCTCGAAAAACGGAAAGGTAAAAGAACTTGAACTCACGACCAAGTGCTCAGTCAAAGAGGCTACACAAAAACCTACCGTTCTTGGTAGATAGTACCAACAGAAGTCTTGTTGGTAGCACCACAGGTGAAAAACAAAAAAGCACTACAAATGAGTGTCGGGGGTAAAATACTACAAGGTTCTTATGTGGTGGCGCATACCGTAACGGCGAAACGTTTAACGGGTTTCCAGACGATTCACCAGGCTTTCCCCCACGGGAATCGACTCACGTTGCAGCACTCCTCCCCGTACTGGTGCAGCCAGCTGTCGTCGTTGCCCGAGAACACGGAATTCCGCTTGCCAAACGTGGTCCGCGTGATGTGGCCCGGGCATACCTCGAGGGCGCGAGTGGCCAGGCGTTTCACCAGGGGAAGGCTAAAGGCCGACTTGGACACGAGCAGCCCCTGGGCGAGAGGTCAAGGGGGTGTGGCACAGGAGCGGGGGTCCGGTTCTATTGGGACAGGGCTTGCTCCTCGCTAAAGCGGGGAAGCTGCTAATGTTTGCTCGCCACGGATCAAGTACGCACTAGTGTGTCGCGTTGCTTCTGCTATTCGGGTCGTCCAAAATACGTAGAGTACGAGGGTGCTGGCCACCTAGTTCCTATTGCACGTACGTCTCTGCGCTGCCCCCAGCCTACGCTGAACAGTCCACGACGGCAAAACCACCTTAGGACCCCGAGTAGCCAGCCTTCTTATAACACCGTTGGTGACACAAGTCACCACACTTCCTGCACCGATTTTCAGAGCCCAATTCCTCCACGCACAATAGGGTGCACAAAAGAAACGATACGTTTTCGGACAGCTTTTCGACGAGACGCCCCGAAAGCCGTCATTTTCGGCACCGCCACTCGAATCTTCGCAGGGGTGTGATATCTTACGTCACCCAAGGCATGTGACCCTACCCATCGGGATCAAAGCTCCCGCAAAGAAGCAACTCATCATGCAAAGATAGTGACCACACTTGAGAACCTCTAGTTTGGCAGAGGATGGGGTTCTTAAGCTCCTCTTGTGGTGTACAAATAACCGAATAGTCCCTGTTAAGGTATGCCATTAACCGGGGTCACAAACGGTGGTGGCGTTCTTCGATTGTGAGCTTTTTCGAGTCTATCTCACTTCCAGAACTACCAATTTTTTCAGTGCAGGCGCTAGTTGTAGGGGGGAAAGGGTTGCAGACTAGGCCGGGGGCTAAGCACATGCAACATCTCACATCCAGGTCTCCGTTGACGTTGAGCATGTAGTTCTTTAAGTTCCAAGCTCTCAAAGCGCGGGCGCGCTATCTACACCCGAAAACAACAAGAAATTTCTCACCACCGCATCGTCCCCACGGAGCACCATAACGTTGGTCCTGACCGCGATCCTCATCACGTCCTGGCGTTCGCCCGCCGAGGCCGTCGCCGCCGCCGCCGCCGCCGGTACCCTCGCCCCGTCCCCACCGCGGGACCCCCTCTCAGATCCCCCACCGCGTGTCTCCTTCCCAGATTCCCCACCGCGGGCACCCTTCCCACCCCTGGCGGCGCCGACCTTCGCCGCTGCCGAGCCAGCCTTCCAGCTAGGGTAAGCGGCAGCGGCAGCGGCAGCGGCAGCGGCAGCGTCAGCGTCAGCGGCAGCGGCAGAGGAAACTTCCTCCGGGGTCAACGGGCGAAGACGCACGTCCACCACGCCCAGGTGGCCGAGGCCGTAGTGGCCCAGGCTCATGCTGTCGAACGTGGCTTTTTCTCCGAGGGGCTCGCAGGGCTCAAGTCCCCGGGGCGGGGCGCCACCACCGTTGTTGCTGTTGTCGTTCGCTTGAGGGGCGATCCAGACCTCCATCCTGTCCCTTGGGAGCATGAGCTCCTTGCTGAGGAGAGTACGCAAGTGACCGAGAGTCCGTACCTGCAACGAGGGGGCGTGCGTGGGAGGAATGAAAACGAATGCCCTTTCATTATTAGGCCATGGACGTGGCATCCCTTCAATGTAGGGACTGAGCGACGCGCCGGGTTTTCACCGTGCCAGGCTTCAGCGAGCGTTCCCTGTGTCGAAGGTTAGAACGAATGGTGGGTCATTTCTGGAAAATAATGTAAGTAGCAAATATTGTAGCAACAACGACGACGACAACAACAACAACAGCACCAGCAACGAACCTGGTGCGGCTGCTGCTCGCTTGTTGCTTCCGCCCCGTTGCCACCCCTACTCCCACTAGAACTTCCGCCCGATCCCTCGCCACCACCGGGTCCTTCGGCCATCGCAGGCGCGGAAGAAGAAGAAGAAGCGGGGTCTTCTCCAAGGCGCCTGTTCGGGATGGTGATGCAGCCCACCGGCTGCCCGAGCACGCGGACGTGGGCGACCCACGCAGGGATATCGTCCGAGGAGACGGCTCCGGGGCCCACCTGCGAGTTGCCCGGCGTGGGGACGAAGGGCAAGCCAAAGGGCGCACAAGGGGGGCGGGGGGGGGGGGGGTACCCATAGTCGTACACGCCGTAGTCGTTGGACCATTGACCTCGCATCCCTACAAAGCCGGGATGGAGAACGCCGGGTTCTCACCGGACCAAGCTCTCACACCACAAGGGGGGGGGGGGGGGGGGTACTCATAATCCTGCATGCCGTAATCCTTAAACCATTGACCTCCCATCCCTACAAAGCCGGGACGGGGGGGGGGGGGGGCATGGGGGCAAAAAAACCCCTCCCCCTCGGGACCCCTGTAAAAAAAAACTCCCCCCTAACCCCCCAAAAAAATTTTTTCGAAACCCCCCCCACAAACCCCCCGCCCCCCCCCTATCGGTTTAACCCTTTTAACAAAAAAAAATGTACCCCCTTTTTACCCTGCTTCAAAATTGAGGTTTTTCCTTTGGTCACCCGGTTGGGCCGGGGGATGTTCTTTTAAACCCCCCCCCCCCCCCCCCCCCAATCCCGGGGTTTTTCCCCCCCCACGGGGGGACCCCCCCCCAAAAAAATGCCTTCCCCCCCATGTTTAATCCCCCCCTTGTTTTTTCCCCCCCCACCTTAAAGTTTACTGAATTTC